AATTCATCCTTCATTGTAGGCACTGCAATCAGTTGACGCATACAGGGAGACATCGTATAAGCAACAACGCTTCGTTGTGTAGCTGTTGACCTGTACTGAACCCTCGAAACGTACAGAGCAGAGTCGGCTGATGACTCGAATCCAGTCAAAAAGCGGGTGCTGGACCTTGACACTTAGCGCAATCACAACACCAACAACACCGCGAGTTTCGGATGCTGAATCGCCTGGACACACAAAGGGTGAATCGTGAGGATGAGGTTAGATCTAGAAATCACAAAGCGATAATTGAAGTAGGGTCTTGTATGCGTGTTTCGGAGGCACAGCATACACCGAAATGGAAAGTTTCAAGGATCCAGGCTAAGGCGGCTTGTTGATCAACCTGATAAAGTGTGCGGACATTGAACGCGGTTAAATGAATAGGGAATTTCGGCTTCAAGAATCCTATAACTTCTGGTTGTTTGGCCTTACTGGTCAGACGCTTGTGATATCCCATGGGTGGGGCAAACAAGAGATTTCTGTTAACATTTGGGAGTGAGAGTAAGAATTGGACAGATGAGAAAGGGAGATTTTCTAGATGAGTGCTTGAGCCTTTAGGGCACTACATATTTCTTGGTAGTATAGGCCGACAAGGTTTTATTCTTTGGGAACCCTGGCCGGAACCTCCAAATCAAAAGTCGGACCCACTGTGCAGTGGGAATGTATCGGCTTTTCTTTGGTAACGTAGATCCAACGCGGGGGCGTGACCGAAGCACCATTATGGAAGCTTCTAGAAAGCTGACACATAAAGCCCTCGGATTTCGGTTGTGTTGTTCGATGGTGCGTTCATTAACCTAATGAGACAGGCGAAAGTTGGACGAGACGACACTTTATTGACTGAAGGCTACCCAGCTTGGGCAGTATTTTCAACGAAGTGCGAAGACTCCCCCATCGTCTTTAGGAAGCCTTATGTAACCTGCTCTTCCATACATCAAGCGATGTTTTCCGACCGTTACACTGCTGCTTTCCGTGTTTATTTGGTGGAGTGACCTGTTCAACGGCGAGAGCGGATAGTCAGAGGGATTCAGGTGTTCAATCAGCTGACCTTTTGAGATTAAGCTTTTTCTGGCCTCTAATCCTTGATCATTCAGGTGTGGTTGGATCTGCAGCTGTGAAAAGCCATCCTCTACAGGTATTGACCAAATTCGTGTACCATCCTGATTTTCATCACATTTCTTTCTCTTAATGCTTCGTTTTTCCAGCCTCATTTACGGGATTGAATATAATATTGCTCCAAGCAGACGCAACATATGTGATATAATGCCCACTTATGTCACTGCTTCTATTAGCCACATGCCATTAAAATATAAAATTCCGCGATTTTGACGAAGGTTGCTGGTAAATCAGTTGTAAAATAACAAAGTCACAGTAGAAAACGTAAATGTATTTTATTTATTAAAATGACTCAGACTTTATACAGGCATTGTACTCTCATCTCGTCCATGTTCCATTTGCTCTCCATTTTTGAGTACTGGAGGCAATCACTTTAGCATGGAATCCACCAAATTGGCTGCCAAACAGAATTTGCAAGTTCTCTCTAATACACCGCACACCCTTAGCACTGGCAAGATAGCTAACTTATCCCTGTTTCTGATAGAGGGAAAAGTTTTCGATTAAATTAAAATCCCACCTGCTGCGTGGTAATAGAACGAATTTGACATTGAACTTGACCCCTCTAGAAACTGCATAAATGTGAAAAATTAATATTTATTTAGGTCTAACCGTTTTCTACCACCGACCTCAAGCGAGCTGATATACCAACCTTTATATGTGAAAAGTGAATGCATTTTGGGAGTGACACTTATCAAAAACCTCGTTTATCAGTGCAAGAAATTTTGCTGTCCATATGGGCGTATGCAGGAGGCCAACAACAATGCACTCAATAATCACTTCCCTTCCACCTCATTAGGTGGGACAGATGTTTACTTCTTTTGACAGGTAAAAAGAAATTCATTAGAAAACTAGCTCAGTAGATCAGCTTTTACAATATGCTGAATCACTCGTTGGCCACCAGTGAAATAAACCCATTACCAAGTGGGTGGGCGATGCGATTTGAATTTATTGGTAAAACCAATACGCGCTATGCTTTGTTGGGTGTGCAATAACGGCTTTATTTCACGTGGCCTCAGCTGCATTTCAAATTGAGACATCATTTTCCAAACGAGTGTGGGGAGAAAATGGCTAATCAGCCCATACTATCCTCCAGGTTGGTTTTGTGCAACTCTTCTCTGTTGCGATCAAATACAACCATCATCTTACTTTGATATGACCAGTTTTCTCCCTCTCAGTTTTTGTATTGATGGAGAAATTTCGTTGAATATGCAACAAATTGGACTTATGTTCATATCGAAGCGATTACACAAGACACCAAACGAGCCATCGGATTCATGGGCCTCTCGGCTTCAATTATATGTCAAAACCTTTTGAAAGTTTCATCCGGTTTGGGCATAGTGACAGTACAAGATGCTTATACAACGAGCCGCACACCTCAAGGTTAACTTTCGAAGATCAACTTGTGTTTCTTGGACTGCTTTCAGTTCTTCCAGTATTGTAGTGTAGCGTGACCGATTGTACAGTGAAAGCTGGACAATAGCAGACATTTGCCGGACACCACTTTTTACCTGCAATCCAAATGTACGTTCACATTTTCACTTCAGTACCAGCGCCATGTGACGTTTGTTCTATACTATTGAAAACTACTGTATCCCTCCGCAAAGGGAACTTTCACTTTTCGCTTTCGCTCCGTTTTACTCGTTAGTTCTCTCGCCTTCGTGCTTTAACGCAAACGTTCGTTAGCCGGTACCAGTAGTTGCTCCGTGCCACGGTGTCTCAATAAACGTCTACAACAAAAAGTCTTCTGGTTTAACCAGCTGTAACTTGGTTGTGTTGCGAGTTAGGGGTTCCCGTTCTGAAGCGCGTCACGCTCGGTCGTAGTCGACGTCTTTTCAGTAGTGAGTAGTTTGTAGTCAAATAATTTATCAATTTATTTAACTGAGAATATTTTCATTAATTTGCTTATTCACTGTGCACTAAATAAAAGGAGATTAAAAATTTAGAATACGTGTGCTCAACTTAATAAACACTCGTGAGACAGGAATCATCTTTAAAAAAGAGTGAACTCCCATGCTGCTTTGCCTAAAATATTTTCCGAATCAGAGCTGTAACCTTCGAACTAATACAAATTTTATCGCGACACTCAAGGTCGCGCAAATTCAAACGATGACAGAAAAGAACTAAGAACATGAATGTTGGAGATAAAGTCAGGAATAAATACACTTTACTCATAACCATCTATATATAAGTATGATATTGCAAGCTGAAATGGAGTTCCAAAATGAGGATGTTGCACGAGGTTGGTCAACACCTGTACGGCTCGCAGGATCATGGAGGCACACAACGTCAAGGTGCAATGTCGTCGCGATGGCTTTTTCATGATAGATCAGATGAGTTACCTAAAGGCAACAAATAGGAGTGCGACACGGAAGAGCGGTGCAGATGTCTGTGAAAATGAAAACAGTATTTCATGGTCCGAGCGTCCACACAACCAGTGAGTATCAGGATTATGAGTTGGAGACCAGACAACAGACCGAGGCAGTAGACCCATTAGTGTAACACATGTAGAGTTCTCTAAGACTAGTTAGTGTGACCGATTTGGTAGTGAACGAAATCTTTCGGCCAGAAACAGAGTGAGGGAAGTTCCGATAATCAAATAAATAAGCGGTATCAAGCCTTCATATAGTTGTCATAAACAAGTAGAGCGTATCAAACTGTCTGGCCAGATCTTGGTATTGCATGATCAAGTACAAATAATAATAGGGTCATGTGTTAAAACACATCTCTGCTCATTAAGGCGGATTATCAGTGGACAAATTGAATTCGTTGTTATACGATTTTCCATTCCGTGCTACTCCTTGAGTTTGTCACTCTCCTAATCCAATTAAAAACCATTTTACATCTAGCGAAACACTCTCATAAGACCAAGCGTCTGAAACGGCCTGTGCTGAGGAAGCTCCACTCACTGCCTTCACATTATGGGGACTTTTCGCCATCGAAAGTGAGGGGAGGAAAAGACAATATCCGATACTATTACCGGGTCGGTGAACTATAGGCAGTTAACCTAAGGGATTGGTTAAAAACCCAACTCCAAACCAACCAAGAAACGTACGAACCACACATACACCCTCTTCATTCTACCTATGATCACCGGCTTGGTTGGGCGGGGTGGAGGTCTGACCCTACACAAAGGGCGTTGAACTGGAAAATGCCCCAAATGGAATGCGGTTCTCAAACACCGCCCAATACTGCTCTACAAGTCAGATTTTCACCAGACGAATGCTCATGTTGTGAATCCTCTTAGCGGAAATCCACCTGCTTTGGCGAGGGCATCCCGGCAATATAATACCCATAAGTAATTGATGCACTGACTTCTTTATTCTGCATATTAGTGAATTGCGATTTGTTTCGCAGAATGTCTGGACTCAGAAGCACGAGTGAAATATGAACATACATCGTAGAACGAATGGGTTTACGCAATCAACCACATCATTAACCCGTCCATCCATGGAGTTTACACTATGGGGGGGGGGAAGAAAATCGTGAGAAGACGTTTGAGGGTATTAGGGATGTTTGTGTCGAATTTAGAAAAGAGCAAGCAATTAAAAAGAGAAATATTGCTGTCCGATTATCTGTGTGCACACCTCGCCCGCCCACCTGTTCCAGTGTTGGTGTATGTGGAGCAAATGCTGGATGATGTTTTGGCTGATCGGATGAGGACACAGTCGGGATGAGAAACAGAGGTACATAACGAAGCGCCAGTGTGTGCGTGTGAAGGCAGATCAACGGCACCCTATTTGGGGAGAGAAACAGCCAGGAAAATCATGATAGAGAACTGGATGTCGGAATGAGACCGACGGTGGATAAAGGAGAGGGGGAGATGAAGATGCAAGGTGGAATAAACACAAAAATCATAAGTCGTTCACAGTGGATGGGGGCTATTCGAAAAGGGGAGAGGGAAGGTGATGACTCTGGAAAAGGCAAGATAAAATCTTTCCGAATGGAAATCGTGCTTCGGTGTTTGTGAATTACGTAACACAATCAAACATTTGTGATCTGTTCACGTGTCGTTTGAGTTCGTGAATGTACAGTTTATTGGCTGCTTGTATAAGAGGAGTTATGGATATTTCTCAATTAAACGGTACAAGATGTGAGTAAGACAGAAAGAGGGAATAGAAAGGTGCGAATGTGCAACCGAGTTGTCTTGCAGATTACGTAATATTAAAAACACTGTGGCGGCAAAGAAAAACCTCTCAAAAGTACGTGATGCGGTTGATAGAATAAAGGGGGCCGAATAGGGGTGCGGCCGACGGTCTGAAAAGGTGAAACCAGTCTCCACCATCAGCACACACACACACACATACGCATGTACGCGTCAAGTAAGTTTATGAATGCACGCACAAGCGTAGTGTACTAGCATGCACGTACAACGTATCCGCAATGAAAGAAACGGAAAAATAGACGAAAAAACGTCAAAATTATGAACAAGAACAATCCAGCAAGCGAAACGAATGGGTGAGTTCGGGTAAGTGTGAATGTGTTCGAAACCGAATATACAGATGATTTTGCCCGCTCACACGTCTGTTCGTTAGCTTATTTCCCCACGTATTCCAAGCAATGGGCTGGGTGGGGTGTGCGCGAGAGAAGAAAGACCGAGGTGGCAAAAAATCCGGGTGGGTTGGATCCTATAGAGTTAGGACGTGAGGAGTGCTGGTCACAGGCTGCACGCGAACGTTCGACCCCCACATGCACACATACGCTTTCCAGGATATGATAAGAAAGAAGGATTGCGATCAAATTACTCTGAACACCACCAGGATAACAATGCACACACATACAACCACATGCACATAAACAAGCGCTTTGAGAAACTTTGGGCGGTAAAGTTAGGCTGAAAAGAGGTGGAGTTCAATATGAGGGAAACCATTGGGGACAATGAAAGGCGATCATGGTAGGATATATAATGTCCATAATCCCGATGATTATCAGACTTTAAAAAAAAACCATGGTTGGTTTGTTTATCCGCACTATCCAAAATGTGCGAAACGCGTTCACGAATGTTTCTGTTCAAGTATGCATGTATTTATGTATCCATAGAGAGCGATTGTGAAATTCTTATCCGTGAGTGGACTGCTGTCGTCAACTGGTGTCTAAATTTGAATTAAAGCTCCACAAAGTGAGGCGCGATGGAGAATGACGAGGTAGGCAGAGAGCCTATCCGATGGTTGGCACAAAAATTTGTTAGTGAGGAAAGCAGGGACCAGTTTCGCNGAAGCGGTTGTCAGCCTGAAAAAAAGAAAGAATGTCATACATAACGCGGATAACACACGTGATGTAGAAGCGAACAAGCGAGATAAATCTACTGAAGAAACGAATACATACACACACATTCATATATATATATATATATATATATATATATATATATATAAGTACATACATACACGCACACGCAATGTGCTGAACTTACGCGCTTTGAAAGACAGCGCTCCTTTCGTTGATAGGACGCTACAACGAAGTAGCTGCGTGCGCCTGTGTGTGCTGTAGCGTCGGAAGAGGACATTTCGTGCTGACTACGCGGTGCTGCTGAAGACACCGGATCGTTGAAACCATCTCTGCTTGAGGTATCTAATGTCGGGAAGGAAAGAAGCATAAATTCATGGAGAAAACAGATATGGGGTAAAAAATCAATAAAATGCTATCCAGAATCATGCGGCCGCAGAACGGAAATAATGGCAATGAATATTCAATGGGCGACATGAGAAAATGCTATCGGGTCAAATGAACTGACTGACTATCACGGAAGACAACACCCGAACAAACATGAATTGGCAATTTGGCTCAGCCATGGCATGAACTGGTTGGCGCAGTGGTAACACACACGCCCTCAATGCGATGGGTCCGGAATTCAAAGCCCGGACGGGACGGTGAATATGCACCACTGATGAGCTCTAATAAGAGCAAAACTCGAGTTTAGTACTTCCAAGTGTATGGATGAATCAATGAACTGAGGATTGTGCGCGAAGGTGAAGTCCGAAGGATATAGTCAGTCAAGTCAATCAAAATGACAAATGGAAACGAAAAATATAACGGCTTACAGCTGCTATCACAGAGTAAAGACCCCAGTGGACTCACCATCATGAGAGGTGGAATTCGCAGGCAAACGTCGACCATGATGACGACGTCGTGATTCGGAAGGATTCGTTGTGGAAGATCGTCCCGTCGGTTGGCAATAATCTGTGTGCATGTCCAGATTCAGAGAGGCAAAATCATCCTGGTGCAAAAAGTACACCTGTCCATCCGATGATAGCATACGCCATTGAGTTACTGGTGGTAAATTGCCCCCACCACCAGTGCTCGAACGCGAGGATGCATTAGGGCGACGAGAAGGGCCAACGGATAATTCCACTCCGCCATCACCCAGCAGATCACGAGCCAAGGCCGAGGTAGACGGCGCAATTGTCTGATCTAAGCTGGTATACATTAGTTCACTACGTCGTCCATTACTACCCACACCCGCTCCAGTGGCATTACGTGAGGAGCTTTGCAGAGCAGACCATGTGTCCATAGATTGAATTATTGTTGAGGACAACATACTGAAAGAAACTGATGGTTGATGCGAGTCCATAGCCTGAACGCTATCACCAATGTTTGCGAAAGCCCCAGACACACGTGAAGTTCCGTCAGCTCGGGTGTGAGAAGAATGTGAGTGAGGCGTGGCTCCGCGAACGGGAACAAATACCACAGTGTCATTCATAGTGAAGCTTGAATCAATCAGGGACACAAAAGAGGAGATGATCAATGAAGAGAATCATGGAAAATCGGGTTAAAGTTTACTGTATCTCTAATTTTCATCTGTGTCCAACTATTCATTATCCCGCGTTTTTCTGTCTATGCTGAAACACAAGGTGCCTGTGCGTGAGCCATAAGTTATATTATAAGCAAGGGCTTACTATATTTATTCATTTATAAGTAATACATAAAATGAATGTTTCTATGCCCGTAGGGAAGACCTTAAAAGTAGTTTATCCCACTGGTAACCAATCGTTGAATTCAACTTCCTTGAAAGTTTGAGGTATTTCAGGATAAATAATGGGGGCCAGCTAAATAACGTCAACATTGTAAAACGCATGAGTGAAATTATTTAAACTAAGGCGACTAATAACCAATAAATGGAAAATTGGATATTTCAAGGACAAGGAACAGATGTTGGTGAAAAAGCAATTGTTCAAATTATTGCTTCGATGAATAAAGTCGGTATTGCGCTCGAGCTGGAGGAAACTCCGTGGAGGTCAACAGATGATGTGCAGCTGAGCCTTGAAGAAACGCACAGAACCATTAAGTGGAGTGGATATCTCTCGTCTTCTGGGTTTCATTTCAAAGGACACTGTACTTGGTTAGCTAGGACAGCGAACCGTCGGCAGTGAGATTCTTGTTGTCGTTGCTAATCCGGTCAGAATGCTTGAAACGGTATGTATGCACAGTTCGATCGTGTACTTCACTCCCTGTCCACCTTACATATCTTCACTACCGTTGTAAGTGTTGAGAGTTTGGTAGCGATCTCTGGGGTTCATTTCACTGTATTTCACTGTAGGACGTGGATTATGATAAATGCAAAAAGCGGAGTATTGACCGACGTGCGTTTCATTTATGATGCGCATTACGTAAAACGCCAGTTTTTAAATAAATACCACTGGTATATAATTATTGAGGTTTGATAGTTAGACCTCACACTAACCGGGAGGAAAAAAAATCCAATTGACTGTCTATAAGTGTAACACACAGGCGACACAAGTTTCCACAATCGTGTATTTTGAACTGATATGAAATAATTCACCGAGGGCGTTAGTTGCTATAACAATATTTTTCGACAATCACGGTGTTCGGTAAAAAAGCTATTTGTACCTAAAACTGTCCATTTTTCAAGTGTTTGTAATTTTTTAGGTGCCCTTCGGGCCGTAATCATCTGCTCCCAAATGGCGGCCAATGACCGATAAATCCTCATTTTTAGTATCAATTTTCACGGTCTCTATGTCTGGAGACCGAAGTAAACGAGCTGACGCTAAATTTGACTTGTACTGGGTGATCACCGCCTGTTTTCTCGTTTACGTAGCTGGGGAAGGCTGCTAGTTCCCATGGCGTGCAATCTGTGCTGTGATTGTACTTGTGGAGCTAGACGACTCGTGTAAACGTTGATTTACGCGCAGCGTACTATTCGGACCTACTTCTGTGCGTGATCGCGCTCTGTTATTTCGTGCACGTCGACTGAGTGTCCAATCTGAGTTTCTCGTCCATCGTCATTAGTGAGTGCTACTACCGTTTTGCTGTGCTGTGCTGTGTCGAATCGTATTTCGGGCACGCTGTCTCTCGGACGTTAATGTTACTTTGCGGGTGATCGTCAACGACACACCACATAGCTCCTATTTTGTTTGTTGGTCGTTCAAGCTAGCCTAGAAGATAGCTTATCCGAACATTGAAGTCAAAGTTCATTGTGAACAAACTCACAACATCGAAGTTTGTCAAACTTCATAGAACCTATAAATGATATTCATTGTAAAAAATAAATTCCTTACAATATCCACGTTCATTCAAAGGGGAGATAAAAATTATCGGCTCAATATTTCACCACTTCGAACCTTAGACGGATCGAATGACGGAAGCAGTGATAACTTCGTGTGATACAGTTTTAGGCAATAAAAATTATAAAGATGCAAGGAGTAACTAAAGTAGTCCAGCTGACTATTCTAGAGTAACTGAGCCATTTGTTGCATTGTGAAGCTCATCACCTTACCCATGTAAAATATCGGGGAGTATAGCACATGGACAAATTATGGCGAGTTTCTGCCAGCTGCGATCATAAACAATGGTGGACAGGCAAAATTAGAGCAAATGAGAATAGCTTAGATGTATTATCGATAAAAAGGTACAAGTAGACAATCTGCAATGAAACGTAATGACGAGGATGGAAAACTGAATAACTCACTTGGCGTGTGCGATTGTCAAAAACCGTTCGATAATTGTGACACCACTCAGGCTAAGTGGATTTGGAACGACACGTGACGAGGATTGTTCACGGTTCGGATGCAAAGCAACGGGCAGATGCGACGATTGACCAGAACCGGATGTGCTGCGCTCAACGAACAGTAAGGTCTGAGGGGACAAGAAAGATTTTCATAGTTATGAAATTGAACATTCCGTTGTGGTCTACCATAGCTTAGTTAATCTTCCGCAGGCTCTTCCATGATTTGGGCACGTTGGAAGTGCCTTCAAGATTCCCCGGAAAATAGATACCCAAGGAGGTTCATCCTATCGGATCACCCAGATATCGATTGTGTTTATCAATTTATCACAGTATGGTTATCCAATTTTTCTAGCAGTTATGCTTCAAGCCAGATCAGTTCCGATCTATGCATGGCCAGTGAGCCGAAAATATTGGCACTAATGACTTGGTCTGACGTTATTTGCAACTAATTCGCTGCGCTTGCTGCTACGTACATCGACAAAAAATATTCCTCCACTATCCACATTTTCTACATAGACAAATGCTCGAAATTGTGACGAAACAAAGTGCTTTTTATCCTGTGTTTAACATGTCCACCTACATCGAGGAATCCGAATAGTTTGTCTTATACATTGCTGAAAGTAGTAAAAGATAATTCTGAGCACGACGTGCAGACAATTCGTAAAATGGATAGTGTACCTCTTGTTGTAACCTCAGGTGAATCCAACTAATCGCATTATGCTAAGACTCCCCCCCCCCCACAAGGTGATTAGTGCCTCAGCCGTCACGTGTCATTGATTGAACCTTGATTGAAGCCTTGATTGCATGTACTCTTGAACTCAGTCGGGAACGCTATGTTCTCGACTTTAGACCATCGGTATAGCAAGATCAAACGTGAACTTTTCACTAGCCAACAGAAATTGCACTTCTTCATTGTAATTCCCGGTTTGGTTATTGTATTCTATGCACAATGACCACAACCGGACACCTACAGTTTTTCTCTCCGTTGCAAAGGTCCTCATCGCCGTCACATCTTTTCACGGCCAGATTACATGTGTGCAATCGTCAATGTTCAGTGAATGAGACAGGTGACGACAAGAATCACACACAGTTTTCCATGATCGTACAAATGATGATAAATTCGTTTCGGGTGCATCATGGGGTATTAATTTGAGGACAGTGGTTAACTTAGTATTGATCAGCTACATCCGCCTAAGTGACGATGAGTTGGAAGAATCCGGGAAACATGGTGGGAAATGACCTTCTCGATGCCATTGAACCTTTTCTCCTACTTGCGAATCAGACGCGTCCAGCAACACTCTACCCCACCGAACACAGATTTTAAACGGGTTACTACCTTCGGACAAGGTGTCATCTGAACGGTCAATGTGCATAAAACATAGGGGGTTACTGTGGGCAGGTAAGCACATAACAATTATTGTCCTGTATGTAATTATGTAATGTAGCTGAGATGGAACAAAAGCTAGTGATCAGTATGGTATCCATTCTTTAGGTATACCCACTGTTTCACTAATTCTCAGTGGCCACATCAACAAAAGTCATAAACAGTAAATTTCGCTGTCAATGCGTTAACCGGGGTTTGGTAAAATAATGTCCATAAAAAATATGTATCCTAAATCTGTAGAATCCTTATTTTTACATATAACTTTTTCTAACAAAACCTAAATCATCGGAAACACGAAAGATACATATTCTATAGTGGCGCGGTCACTTATGAGCTAATTTTATAGACATATCTTCTATAGTTACAAAAATATTGTTCAATCAATCACTGTGGATTTTTGTTACTCGGTTTGCGTCTGCGCCGTGTTAGCGTGAACCATTTCGTGTAGTGCTTCTACTCCATTCGACACTTGGAACAGCAGTGAAACCAATTAACATACATAAAACTATGATATATCGTTGTCCAGAGATACAAACATTCAACCCAAACGATGTCCAATTGACAGTCTGACCATTCCGGTCCGATGTAGTGTTTATTTTGATGAACTCCTTGAAGACTATCTGACAGATTTTTTTGTGTCCCTCGGTGAAACAACACTTTTTCAAGGCAACTTTCACACTGGTGAGAAGTTCTCAATTGACTACAAAATACACGTTGTCTAGCACCAACAGTATTTTACCAGATTTGGCTACTGGTAAGCATTATAGTAGTCACCTTCTGAATACAGTTTTCACATGTTTGAAAACCGCTTAAGAAGTCTTAGGGAAGTAAAATATCGGTACTATCGTTGATAGCATTAAAATCAACCGACTACCTGATCCTTATCCAGTTGCAGATTTACGCGGGGTGCAGTTTGATTGTCCTTCTATAAAAGGATGAAAAACAAGTTGAAGAAAGTACATTTAAATTTATCTAGTCATCCATATTAGTGGAGACAATCCTTAAGATAAAATGAAATGGAATCAGACGACTTGATTTCTGTAAATGGCACTCAATCGACCGTCATTTACATTTGCAAACTATGCTCACCCACATCAGTGGGCCTTCATTCATTTACGATGAGAATTAGGCGTTGGATGTCTACATCACTCTGGTTAAGATAAACAAGAACTAGGGTTTCCAAGTGGATTGGACGATACAAAGAGACCGGTATATGCCAATGTCTCTTTGATAGATTCCAGTTTCCTGGGACAAGTGGAAGGCTACAACGAAGGATAATCCGATGTCTGGGTCCTAATGCGAAAATCGAATCTGACCGGTTCAAGTGTTCGCAACCGCTGGGAGTGTCATATTCCTGAGGGCACTAAAGAAACGTCAAATTATATTAGACAATTTATCCAAAACCTCGAGCGTCAATCACAAATGTTCGGCAATTAACACCGGTAGAATGACGGGGTGATGATCTCAGCGGATCAAAAGGTTAGATGCAGCCAGGCTGAGCGTAGGATGTATGAAGACAGTGGCCGACGTAATTTGAAACTACCTTGTACAACCCGGATATCAAGTCAGGACTGCAAACTTCAAAACCACACACGGTGTAATCATCTTGGGAATGAACCGTGACACTGGGCCAGTAAGTATTGGCAAACAATTGGAATTTCACTGACGAAAATTAACCATGTGTACAAAGGAGACTGATCAAGGTACTACGGTCGACCTGGCCTATGGCTGAATTGGAAGGTGAACCGGTTATGACCTATGGTAGATGACGATGAAGTTGTAGCCATCCGAACAACAGCAATCCCACCACCCCTCACCCCTCATTTGTAAATTGAAAGTTCAATGGGAACATTTTGCAAAAACTCAGTTTCAATGGCAAGAGCGACTAACCGAGTACTGTACTGTGTTGTATCGAAGAACAGTTAAGGGAATGTCATTCTCAACAGCCATACCGACAATTCGCCAGTTTTAGCAAACAAACGTGCAGTTAAATAAAGTTGCAAACAAAAGCAGGTGAAGGATAACTATATCCATAAAACCACACATGATACTGCAAATTCGCTCGTATACCACATTACATGAGCGTACCGTTTTTGAATTTTGGTTGGGGACTGCCGATTCTTCCGCTGCAGTCCGTGACCCATCTGTGAAGAAAGACAGAAATCACACGAAAGATTAAAAAATGATCTCTTAAGTACTGGGACAGACGATACCAAAAGTCTTAAAAATCACTTTAAAATCACCTCCTCTACCTGCCTCATAGAAAGAAAGCCCCCATAAATAGATGAGTTCGATCAGATAACAACTGAAATTTCATGCTGGGATAGAGAGGACAGTGAAATCTTGGTGAGTATCGGAAAAATGATAGATGCCTTCCTGAAGCTAGAGATTCATATAGAACCAGTTTTAAGTCCGAAATACATCACTATGATCCCGAGCTAGTGTTGAGTAACTACACTACTATCGCATCAAACATTCTATCTATTTACACCCAACGAATAAGGCGTCAAGGCAAACAAGCTTATTCCATCTAGTACTCAATATTGATCGGTGTAGAATTCATTATTTTGATTGGTATGGCCATCAGGGAAGTCGAATTTACCAGCCCAACGACGACACCGATTACCGTAGTCCACTAAAAAAACAAAAAGTCAACACGGATACAGAGGAATAAAATGGCCTTTTTACAAACTTGTGAACGATACTTGTCGCAACTGGAACTCAGACAATGTGACACAAAAGTTGAAAAATTCAGTAACAAATTGGACTAGTTTCAGTTTCGATTCAAATAACCATTGGCGATGCATATTCAGGCGGAGCTTTCGGTTGTTGTTTCTCAACCATCCGTTTGAATGGATGAGCAGAGGGAATATTGGAACGCTGAAGGGAGTATCAAGGTGAAACAAAGAATTGATGAAGATTGCGACTGATAGAAAATCGAGTAGATACACGGACGCCATTGTTTAAGGCACTCAACCATATTACTTGGTGATTCTAATCACGGATAACGCTGAATCCGAAGTCCCCATCCGAGTAACTCAGTTACATATGTGAACAAGTTTTCCAGTCTTCATAACTTTGTTGTAGACCTTAGTTTGCCCACTCTTCACTCTTTTCCATCCATCAACTACTACCTTGGCAAACATCGTACCACGTGGTAATCTATTTGGTGACTTGTGTAACACATGCTTCAATCAATGTAATTCATGGAAGCGATCGACTGAGTTGAGGACTACTTTCAGATCGAATGAGATAGGAATGGTGAGTTTAAGAAAGGAATGTATGCTTTCTAACATGTGACGGAGAGTGCAAATGTGGTCGACACAAACTTGAACTGGTCTAAAAATCAGCCGAGTTCTCAAATGTGCATCGGTCACGTGCGACAGACAGTCTACAAAGTTTTATGATCTCGAGAAGTTTAGAGACTGTGATCAAACTAATTCCTCTGTGGTTTTCACAATAAGATAACCCCCAGATATGTTCCCCAGATAAGAACACTGATGAGATAAAAGTAAAGGTGGTTGTGGCCCGGCGATAACGTCACCAAATTACCACCCCGGGGATGTGTTCGAATCCCACCACCACCGTATGACCTTTCCCATTTGTTTTTGGGCAACTCCTCCGTCCTGAAAACAGTATCATTGTGTATTCAATAAAAGGAATGAAAATGAATAAAAGGAAAGTATTTTACATGTAAGTTGATGCTACGCAATACGCGTTCACTATGATTAACATAACTTTCCTTAAACAAACGGTCTCTTGGAATTTCTAAGCCTGAAACGGAGAGTATATCATCCATGGTACTTGTCCCTCGATGGACGAGCACCTATGTCGCATTCATTGATCACATCGGCCATTGAATCACTGAGCGATTACTTATCGTACATGAATCCCACTCAAATAAGATGATCCGTTTCGAGCAAGGTGACAAACCTGTGATCGATCACGATACAGAGCATAAGAAACGATATTCGGACAATCTTTCATATGATTTTCCTTGAAAACATTTATCCCAGGACAAATAACAGTTGATTGACAACAGTGATCGGGATATGCGATCAGAAAGTTCACATCTTGCGTTTAGCAGCATTATAATATCCGGCTTTGAAGTCACATCCAAAGGATTGCGGGTATCACTACGCGGTGAAACGCCAAGCTTCCTAATAAGAGGCAAACAGTTTCATGTTCTAGGTTTTGAGGGTCATTTACCATAGGGATGTAACACTTGATTTAGGGATAGTAGATCTGAACTCGAGCACTAATAGGCCACTCACCACATTACTGAAGGATAAAAAATCAAACCCAGAACCGAAGACGCATTGCACTGAGCAGATTTCATGTATTAAAATTACACCCCAGCATTTTCGTATTCTTGAATGTTTATCGATGCACCTAATCAATTTCATCCGTTTAATGAACCGGTCATTTTGTAAGCCACTTATAGACTCGAAATATTTTTGCCAAGCTCACTTACCCAGTTCAGGACCGCGGACGTGAGAACCTAGACTGGACGACTGTAACAGTTCCGTCTGTACCGCGGTTGTGGATGTTTGAATGGTAATGGCGTTCTCTCCCGCGGTTCGGATGCAAGCTTGTGAGATATCCGAATGACTGTGTTCCTCTTGACTCGAATGACTGAGGAGCTGCAAAGGAATAGTATAGAGAAAACGAATGAAGTTGATCCAAAACGGATGTGATTAGATTTTGCACCAGTAGCATCACTCTAGACTGTTCCGTATTCCACGTGTTTACTCATACATCCGATTGTCACATGCGGTTTTCTTAACTCATATTGATCTGGGCATTGGAAGAAAATACGTTATTTTTAGGGCCACGAGAACAACAACCTTTTGTAGTTCCTTGTGACATTAATGGTATTCAAGCACTGTAATGCACCATCACATCGGCTTGCACAATCACTACCATGATCACTACCCGACAAACTCCGACAGGTTTGAATTGCATGCGGTATACCGGCGTACCACGAATTTTTGTGATGACGCAAATTTAGCGCTGGTTATCTAATACTAGATGAGAGGAGTACAAGTTGGAGAATTCAATTGTCCACGTGATGCAACGAAAACGTTTCTGAACCTCAACAAAATCAGGATTCACGATTTCTCTAACCCATTTTATTGACTCATTAGTTCACTCGGTACTACAGCGTTGCCTCAGGATAGGATGCTACCAAAAAAACTTGATAATAATTACTACATGTTTACTCGAATCATCCATGGTATTGACCTCTTTGTTCCCAAAATAATCTTTAACTATTACAATCAATCGGACGAAGGCTAAGACAGAAAGGCACACGAGAAAACACAAACTATTCAATTGAACATCCAACCATAAAAGCTGATGGGAACAACCCATCTGGGCGGGAGGCCTCACACCTCTGGAGATGACTTGTTTCCCGGGAAACATCAGATGGATGACTGGCATCAACTGGGAGTTTCGAGGTGGAGGTTATAAAACATATGTAGATGGGGGTCAGTTGAACAGAGTATCTGAATGTTCAGCATATCCAACGAGATGGCGCTGCTGATGACGAATCAAGATGCCATCGGAGTCGTAAATAACCTCAATAACGACTATTTTCCTGGAGACCTAATAATACGGAAAAGATTGCAACTGTTACCAATAGCCGCAGCTTTCTATATCTCTCTACACTTTCCTACTTACCACTTCCCTCGGCCTTTCCTTAGAATCTTGACCAGCTGACATTTGAGGGATTTTCGCACTGTCATATGCGATATCTGGAGGAAGGGTTTCACGGGTGTCCAGCACGGCAGCCGAGGTTGATAATATCCGTCTTTGTGTTTCNCGTTGTTTATATTGATATTTGCACAACTTCCTGGATTTGCTTCCAATGATCATTGAGTTGCGGGACTAAAAAGCGATCGGTGGGCTCCGCTTCGAAGGCAAATTCGCAACAGTCATTGACGTCGTATCGTGGGTTTCCGTTGTCAGTGGTTTTCTTGCGGGTGTTTGCCAGGCACAAGAAGACTGGTTCCAAATAAAGCGTGGTCCGTATCCACAGGTATTGACCAGTGAAAGCGGTAATCTTGAGTTGACTCCCTTTAGTGGTAACTGATGGCGACGTACTTGATGTGGATCCCGCGCTGCGAAGCCGTTCGCGGTTTCCATGTAAGGTGGTGTCGCTTCTTGTGCGAGAAGTTCGTGCTTGACAGGAACAATCCGTGGTTAGCGCAGAGTTGAAGTAGGCGATAACCGTTGTCCATCCGGGTGGCTGGGATTGCATGCGGCCCGCCAAGAAGCCTTTCTGATTCGTCGAGGTATCCCTTTTGAGCACTGACGTCTTCGATGACTACTACGACGTCTGTTGATCGAGCGCTTCGGAGTAATTGAGAAACATCCTTGTAGAATTCATCCTTGATTTCAGGTGTACTGTAATCGGTCGGTGTATACACGGATACGACGAACAAGCAACGACGATTCGTTCTGTAGCTATTCACCCGTACTGAAACGTTGAGACATACAGCGCACAGTCGGCTACTGGCTAGAATCCAATTAAGAAGCAAGCGCTCAGCCTTGGCATTTCGTATAACCACAACACCCGCAAAATCACGAGCTTCGGATGCCGAATCACTTGGCACACGAGGGGTGAAGCGTGAAGGTTGGATCAGAACGCAGAGGGATAATTGAAGTAGGGTCGTGTATACGTACAGCATACATCTAAATTGAAAGTTTCAAGGGTTCTGGCTAAGGCAGCTTGATAATAGTGTGAGGACATTGAATGCGGCTAAAGAACTAAGATTTTGATTCAAAAATCCTGTAACTTCTAACTGTTTGGCCTTCCTGGTAAAACGCTGAGTGATATCCGATGAGTCTCGTCAACAGGCGTTTGGAACTATTCAGGAATGAGAGGAAGACAGATGGGAAAGAGGTTTTTCGAAATGGGTGCTTAAGACTTTACAGCACAAGATAATTTGCGGCAGCCCAAACCGCTGAAGAGGTTTTTTTGACTGGAACCTTCGACTCAAAAGTCTGACCCACACGGCAGTGGGGTGTAAATCCAAAGCGGGAAAGTGAACGAAACACCTGTGTGTGGAGACCTGTCAAGCAAGGTCTTTGATTTCCGGTTAAGTGTGTTGTTCGCTAGTGCGTTGATTGTTGGTCCACTTTTCGGGATTGACCGTTAGTCTCATGCACCCATTGAAACAAACGGAACGCCGACAGGACAGCACTTTATTGGCTGGAGGCTGCCTAGCTTGGGTAGACGATAGCTGTCCAATGAAGTGCGAAGACTTCTCCCACCGTCGAGGGAAAGCCCCAGGTACCCCACTCCTCCGTCCATCTAGCGGGGTTTTTTTTGACCGGTAAACTGCCCCTCACGTTTTTATTTGCTAGAGCGAACCTCTCCAGGGACGAGAGTGAATAGACAAAGGAAGCCAGGAGGTGACCAAGCAGCTGGCCTTGTGAGATGGAACTTTATCTGGCCACTGGCCCTTGACCTTTCAGGCATGATTGGATCTGCGGTTGTGAAAAGTCAACCTGTGTTGCTCGCCGGGCCATAAAGGCGCGCGAGGAATCACGCCACGCCAAGGTGCAGTCTCGTCGTGATAGATTCAACATTTGAGCGGCAGAAGGATGGATTGGATGGCAGTTTTCGATGGATCTGATTTCATACGATGGGGATACGAGAGGCAGAATATAACACAC